CAGCCTTCTATGTTCCAGGCTCAAGATGCTTAGTTTAATGTTGACACCTTATGTTGGCAGAAATCCACAGATGCCAGTTGGCTTAGTTTTCTTGATTTTCACAAATCTGGTCTAATTTACACTGGTAGAGAATTGGGTCTATGCTTTAATTTTGCATAGTGCATCTACCGTGAGTAGCTTCTCTTGTGTTGTTGCATCTTATCAGTCTGGGAAGATATGTCAGTCAAAAATACTGCCTGTTATAGTTGCATGATGTGTATACCTCTCCTGCACTGCTTCCTTCTCCATTTCCCTTCTCTCGGTAACATTTTGATCTTTATCTTTGGAACAGAGGAACTCCACATTGGGGGACAGGAACATTTTTATATGGAGACTCAAAGCGTGCTTGTCGTTCCAAAAGGAGAAGCTAAAGAAATGGATGTGTATGTGTCCTCACAGCATCCAGCACTCATCCAGGTAACAGCTTTTCTGAGAAAGTTTAAAGGCTTGATAATACAGCTCTTTGTGTGTTGTTTGTATGTCTTCTTTGAAGCTACCCAGAAACCATTGTTTTCCAGTGCTGCCATAACATGTTAGCTCAGCACTAAACCCATCTCTTGTTAGCTAGGTGTTCACTGGTTTCTGCTTCCAGGGTAAAAGCCTCTTGTTGCTCTGTGAGTATAGTTACAAAATCAGGCCACAAAATGTTAACTTATGGACCACACCTTCTGAAATGCTGAGTATTCTCCACACCCGTTCACTTCAATATGGGGGAGTGTTTATTGCTTTGCCAGGTCAGATCCTTGGTGATGAACTTTGGCTCTGTAAATGCTTTAGCTGGATCAGTGATAGCAGTCTTGCCAAAATGTAAGGAGGAATCTGACAAAGCTGAGGTCTCTGCTTAGCTACAGCTATGGCTTGTAGACCTGAATGCAGTTTAGACAAAATGCTGTAATTTTATGTCAATTTTTCTTTTGTTGGGGTGTATTTATTCCCATTGTTGACCTGCTTTTCATTTTGTCCTCATGTTTCTTTTTTATCAATGGTAGTCATGAATAGTAAATGTTATAAACAAATGAGGAGCCCAGTCAGAAAGATGAGGAGCACAGCCAGAAAGATATTGGAGACAAACATGTCTTATTGCTGTGACCAACCAGCAAGGCCTTAGATGACTAAAATAAAATATTTAGAAATTCAGTGTCCTTTGCTGACAGCCTGCATTTCTTTTAGTATGCTTAAAGCAATGGTGTTTCTCTTTTGTTTGAGTCAGGTTTACTTTCACAGAAGGCGTGGGGGTGTGTTTGTTTCTAAATTCAAATGGAAAATGTATTTTTAAATCATTCTGGAAGCATTTCATATAGCCTTTTCTGGGGAGGAGGGGTAGGAACTTTTCTTTGCAAATCCTGCTTTAATTGAACTGGAATAAAAAGGAAATTGACTTTACAGGAAATGGTGGCCTCATGTTTAGGTGTTCCAGCAAATAGGATCATGTGTCATGTAAAACGAGTTGGCGGAGCTTTTGGTGGGAAGTTACTCAAAACTGGTCTGTTGGCATCAGTTGCTGCAGTGGCAGCAAACAAGTAAGTATGATGTATATGTTTTGGAGCATGAAGGGGAAAGGAGGGCAATAGTTACCCACCATGGCTGATATGGCGTTACCATTCCTGGTGATACTGCCTCCATACTACCTAATGTACCATAAAATCCTGTCTGTTACAGAGTCTTATTAGACATTATTTGTGTAAGCTCCAGGCTGGGCTAAGCTGCTGGGATCTAACTAGACCTAAGCCTGATGTCATCTAGAAACATTCTCAAAGCTCTTAGCAAGTTTAGAGATGTATGTACCTTCTGTCAGACTGAGGCTTTGTCCACACAGAGCATTCACTTTCACTTAACTAAGTCAATTTCAAAAGCAAATAATTTAACTTGATGCAGTTTTCTTGTGTAAATGCTCTCATTTTGATTTTAAGAGTCTGTAGATTTACGCTGATACCTAACAGGCTCTTAACGTCAGACTGAGCCTGTTTACCCAGGAAAGGTGCACTGAGTTACCTTGTCTTTCAAGAATGGGAAAGAAGCCTCTATCATAGGTCTGCATCCAACGAGGCATAAATTTAAATGAATTAATTGTCCTGTTAAGCTTAAATTAAGTTTAGACATGGGCTTAATCTCTTTGCTCCTTAGGGATGGACAAAAGTACCTACGTAACCTCAATGAAATTACTCATTTGCTTGAAATAAAGCATGTGCCTAAGCACTTTGGTGCATCTGGGCCCATGGTGAATATTTGCTTTTTAGTAGCATCTGGGTCTGAAAACCCCACCTTTTTCCCCACATAGAACTGGTCGGGCAGTCCGTCTTATCCTGAGCCGGGGTGAGGATATGTTAATCACTGGGGGCCGGCATCCTCTTGTTGCCAAATACAAAGTAAGTGTAGAAGAAAGCTGTGCAAAACACCATTTGTGCATTTTATGTGAATAGAATTTTCATAATACCACTAGTTAATATTGTGACCATTTGTTCTGTTTATCCAAATAACAGTATTAAATTCAAATTTAATTTGCAGTCCCCAGCCACTGATTTGCTGTGTGACCCTGACCCTGATAGGCTTTTCTTTCTTCCTGCCATTCCTAATTTGTCTTGTCAATTGAGACTGTACGTTCTTTGGATCAAACTCTTCCTGCATATTTATCCAGTGCTTAGCACTATGCAGTCCTGCTCTTGGTTGGGGCTTCTGGCTATATTGCAGTACAAATCCAACATAAAGATAATAATAGAAGCTGCTGGTGACACCAAAACAGATTTGCTCCATTACCCAATAAAGGAGGAGTTTTGTAGCTGTCAGGCCTGCAAATTCATCCTTAGAGAGTACACTGGGTGTTTCCTTGCTCAGGTGCATGCTGTCATCAGTAATAATTATGCAGGACAAAATGTGCCCTCCATTACTCCTGCAGAAACTAACTGAAAACATCAGGGTCCTGTAGGCATAACAGAGGGCTGAACTGGTCCCTAAAGCTGGAACATGGTTACCAATTCTACTGATGATTAGGAGCAAAAATAGAACCCAGTTCAATCACCAATAGGAATGACAACAGAAATACAATGTAGACAACATTTATTTTTGTCAGTAAAATAAGTGAAAGCTGTCAGTGTGCTCTAGATCTGTCAGGTGCCATTTGTACAGTTACTTCTCAGAGTAGGACTTCACTTTGCATGCGGTTGACATCTACAAATTGTGGCACAGATGTCACATTAGCCATCTCCCATGGAATATGCAGATATGCAACAGGCTTTCCAGCTGCACGCCAGGTGGGGTGTATGTTGCTCAACTAAAGAGGCATGTAATATGTACCATATAATATAGATCAATATGGGATCTAGAAAATCTGTTGCTTAGGTGCAAATTATCTTTCTAGTTTCAGCGAGTTGAGCACAGTACTGACCTAATCGTATGGTTTGTTGTTATTTCTAGAAAGTGTGACCTGTCACATTTGTATTTTTTCAACTTTGTGATGGAAAAAGTAAAGAACAGGTGAATGAGTGCAAAGGCCTAAGAAAGTTCTGTTAATCCAATTTAGGTTGGCTTCATGAATAATGGTGGGATCCTGGCTTTGGATGTCAAATATTACATTAATGGAGGATGCTCCCCTGATGAGTCGGTTCTGGTAAGGATTTTATAAATTAACCTATTTCCTAGTATGGAGCACTTGCCATCTGGAAAAAGTGAATTGCCAGATTTCCTTTGAAACTGTTTTGGCATTATCCTGTCATCTGCTCTGTAGGGATTCTGGGCAGGTGTCAGAAAATATCTCCATCAGATAAGCTGGATTATTGCTCAGAATTCTGTGCAGGTTTATAGTGGCAGCTAAATGTTTCCTGCCTAGAATTGCATTGTACCTACAGGCTGCACAATCAGTTTGTGGCCCCAACTCACTTTATGTCCCCAGCTCATGTATGTAATCGAAGCCAAAATCTGACCTTTTTCATTCTGTCAATGATCTTCCAATGTTCACACACACTGCTTCACTAGGGCAAAACTAAGAGTCCAAACTCTTCTTATTTGTTGTAGCAATACCTTTTACAATCATTATTGTTTAAAACAAGTGCTCATTCATTAAAAACAAAATAAATGTAGAATTTAAGGTTGCACCTTTCTAAGAGAATGCCCAAACTGTCACATTCAGGAAACCAGCACCCTCTGGTGAGGCATCCAACTAAAAAGCTAGTAACTTTCTGAAAGCTGATGTTAATCAAATATATTTTGGTGCTGGACACTAGAAACCAGTTAGAGGATTTCAGTAAAGAATCCAACTCTGCTTTCCCTCTTTCTGTTTATGATTTTGTGATGGTTTTCTACAAATCTTAGAAGATTTCGTAAACTGTGGAACTTGTGTGCCGTCTTTAAGAAGTAAACATTTAGTCTGAACACATTCATGGCATCATTTGGCAGAATGTAGAGTAGAGAAGTACACTGTTATTGAGACTGCTTTGTCTGCTTCGTTCCAGATCTATCAACACTTCAAATATAACATTTTCTTTAGAATGGGAACAAAATGAGGCTAATAATGAAATTTTGGTTACAGCTTCAGCTAGGGAGAGACTGTTGTCACTCTGTAATTGCCCCCCAGCCATGACTGTCTGCTTTGTTCCTCTTCTGTCCAAATAAGAATATTGAGATGTAAGATCATGCTGCTTGGGAGATGTGTGAATAATGAAGGTGGGCCATGACTATATAGTAAACTTATGATGCCTGTGGGTAGCTCCATTAGGCATGATGCACTGCAGTAGGCAGACTGCCTTGGAATCTAGAAGCATTATAGCCTCGTCAGCTTGGCAGCATGGATCAGCTTATTAGTATAAGTATGGACAAATTGTCACTAGCAGTCAGCAGTGTGAATTCGCCTGCTCAAATTGGATGTAGTGAGTTTGAGGCATCCTGTTTGTGATGACTAGAAAATGGTATTTAGAGGTTTGCTTTTAGGAATTGGCTTGTAGGTAAAGTAGATATGTATTAGAATAATTGTCCAAGGCAACGGCAAGAGTTAATTGGTTTCTAAAAGCCTGTTTGTGACAAAGTTTCCTTCAAGGCCCATTGTATCTGGAGCAGGCAGAGTCAGCATATTGAAAACATATACCACACTGTTCAATAACATGAGATAAGAGGGCATTATGTCACAATGCCCAATTGCAGAGCCCTTGGGATTTCCAGTTTTAGTGGACAGACCAAATTAGGAGACTGGTAAATGCCCACATTAATATGTGTGCATGTAATGGGTTTGTTGGAACAAAGGAATATGCTGACAGGACAAAACAAGAACAGTATGATGACTGCAGGGAAACCAATCAACAATTTCTAAGAATGAAGAGTCATTAGAGGGAGAAAGAATACAAAAGGAGGGATTTCAAAGCAGCAACGAGTCCCCGAGGGAGAACTCAAGATCACCATGGACAGAGGGTACACCACCAGCCTGTATCACTGTGATAAAAGGCGCCTTGCTTGTTGCACTGCCTGCCGGGTGTGTAGCCCCTCCCCTCAACTCGCCTGCCGTGACTTGATATTATTCTACAAAGAGAGGGGGTTCAATGGAGATCTTCTTCCTGGAAGGGCTTCCCCGGGAAACAGCAGTACTCACGATTTAGGCGCAGTATTCCACGGGGCTCCGCCTCCACTACACCCCATCCACTCGCCAACCAGATGGGCGTCAGCACAATGGTGGTTTGGTCTTGCTGGCTTGACCACAACTTGCTTCAAGAGGAATCCCACGTCTGAGTGGGCTCGGGTGGTATTTGTCCCTCCTGCCTCAATGCATAGTCTTCCCTTCCTCAAGGCTGTAAGGCTATCTAGGTGTAATGTCACGCCTACTGCAGTGCCTCTGAGTAGGGCGCTTTATTCTTATGCCTCTTCTCCCTCTCTCTTATTTTTCCTCTTTTTTTTTCAAAAGAAATAGACTCCTGGGGAGGAGAGGAATGTGGAGCTGCCTCCTTTCTCCCAGCCTCCTACAGGGGGCTCCAGTGCCTCCCCTGCTCTGCCTCCTGCAGGGGGCTCAAATGCTTCCCCTGCTCTGCCTTCTACAGGGGGCTCAAATGCCTCCCCTGCTCTGCCTGCTGGCGCTGCACCAGCTGTACTGCTCCTCCCGTGCAGGAGCCTCAGCACGTCTGGCGTGCTGGACACCAGCGCACTCTCTCTCTGGCTCTGCCCCCACGCTGGGTTCTGGTGGGGCTTTTAAATCTTCCCACGGTGGCCGGCATGGCTTCTACAATTGGTCCAGCTTTTCCCCGCCCAGGAAACAGCTGATTAAACAGTGGGTGTAATGCCGGCTCGCGCGGCCATGGCTGTGGTTCTTGCTCCTTCTCTGGCTGCCCATCAGAAGGTAAGTTTTCCCCGCGGGGGAGGGGGGGGGCTGTTTCTGGGGTTTGGGGCCCACAGGGATTACCCTCTCCCCTTTGGGAGTCTGTGGGGGCACCTCGCTGCCACAATCACCCACCCCACTGGAGTGGGATGGACTTTGGCCCTCAACCTCGAGGCCACTGACATCTGACATTCAAGAGACAATCAAAGGGTGAAGCTTGTATACTGGCCAGACATATTTTCCCTCTGTGACAGCACTAGGACTGGCAGATATAGAATCAGAAGAGTTATTTTGTTTGCCTTGCCTGTGTTATTCTTATTTGCTATCACTGTGTATCAATAAATTTTGCCTATTATCGAATGAAGAAGTCATGGTCAGTATGATGGTTTGGGTCTGCCTGGAACAAGGTATCTAGGTCATAAATCCAGGTGCAACAGTTTGGGGCAGTGCAGTGTGCTCAAGGCACAATAAGTTTACTTCATAGATATGACCACAGACTATTCTTGTTACAAAGGGTTTACAGAAGCTCCAGTTTTCAAGCTAATACAGGTAGTCCTTGGACTTATAACACAATTGGTTCCTGAAAACCGTGTCTTAAGTCGAAACGTTGTAACTTGGAACCAATTTTATCATAAGAAACAATGTTATAAATGTGGGATTGGTTCCTGAACCAAGGCCCGATACCCTCTTTTCACCAAAATACCCCAGAATTTTGCACTTGATCAATTATAGATGAGTAATATACCTACATAAATGTATTTATATTGTAAATAGCAATCATATTGATTTGGAAGGACTTCTTTGAGGTGACTTTGCTGGAGGGCTCTTGGTTGGACTGTTTGAAGGGCTCTTGGCTAGAGTCTTCTCAGGAGTCCTGGTTGCAGGTTTTTCTGGAATCTTGTCTGTTTTCTTAAAGAAAGTGTCCAAGGAAGTTTGAACAGATGTTCTCCAGGGAGATGAGTGATGCAGCAAACTTGTTTGCTGGCATGGCGTCGCATCTGCTCAAGCATTGTAAAGTCGAAACTGATGTCATAAAGTTAAAACAGGGTGTCAATTTATAAACGTTGTAAGTGCAAAACGTAACTCGAAACGTAAGTTGAGGACTGCCTGTAATACTTCTATCCTATACCTGATTTTCTTAAGTCAGTGCCTCTCTTTGATAAGAGAAAGATTAACATAATTTCCATGTGAAGGTAATTATAAAAGAAGACCTGTTCTGACATTTTCTGTCTGTTCACATATGACAGGTAACAGAGCTAGCCTTGCTAAGAATGGATAATGCCTACAAGATTTCCAACCTGCGATGCTGGGGCTGCGCTTGCAAGACAAACTTGCCATCAAACACAGCTTTCCGTGGATTTGGCTTCCCCCAGTCAGCTCTGGTTACAGAATCCTGGATAACAAGTGTTGCAGAGAAAACTGGTTTGTCACCAGAAAAGGTAAGGAAGTAAGGGTTATTGGCAGGTTAATGAAAGATGGATTTTCTTTCCAAGATAGTTCCTTTGTACTATATAGTCTGTTTATTCAGTGGCAGACCATATAATAAAAGGTCCTTTGAGTTAACTGAATTGCTTGACCAAATCATTTGTTGACACTAAGTGTTGATGTTGGCATTTTTTTGTTTCTGAATTCCTGTTTTATTGAGATTGTCCATTGAAGTTACATGATATTCTGTCTGTTTCCAAATTGGATGCAGAATACTTTAACTTTGAGACTAGCAAGCGATGTGCTTTGGATATGAATTTCTAATCTTTTTTGATAAAATTCTTAAATAGTTCTCAGTTAAGGACTAAGTCCTTGCAAGAATGAACAATACAGCCCCACAAATCATACTGAAGCTAACCTTTCATGCTTACTTTTGCACCACTAGCCCAAAACGCAGGTCAGTTTGTTTTTTTGGGATCTCTGCTAATGTTCTTTTTTCAGGTAAGGGAGATAAACATGTATAAAGAAACTGAACAAACACCTTACAAACAAAAGTTGGATCCCCAGAACCTGATAAGGTGTTGGAATGAATGTATGGTGAAGTCTGCATACTACAGCAGACTAAAAGCTGTGGAAGAATTTAACAGACAAAATTACTGGAAGAAGAAAGGAATTGCCATAATTCCCATGAAGTATCCATTTGGACTTGGCTCACGTTATCTTAGTCAGGTCAGTTTCTTTAAGTTGCCTTTAAAAATACTTCCTCGTATAGTGAGCTGATGGCTTTGCCCTTGGAAAGTTTGATTTGGCTTATATCACAAAGAAACATATACATTTAGATCCCTTGTGGAAAAATGTTTTTTTCATAACAACCATTTTATAGAGGCTGCACTGCTTCTCTTGGTATGTTTGTATGGCTCAGTACATCGCTGTATAGGGATACTAAGGCTAGCTCTGGGGATGTCTACACATGTAATTAATGCAACTGAATAGACTCCAGCATAATTTGTGCCAAAGTTTATTGCTCCCAGGTGCCGCATTTGCATGTGCGCCCAGGACTGCAGCGTGTTGGGCTGGGGCAGAAGCAGCCCTAGCTGACAGGGGGTCCCAGAGATTAGCTTTCCAGCCTGGGGCTGCTCCAACCCAGGTCAACATGCTGCAGAAGGGCTGGCTGGGGCATGAGGGTGCTTCAGTGCAGGGATAACTGGCAGGCAGCCCCCACACTGAGGCACCCGTCTACCACAGCTAACCCCATCAGCATCTACATGTGCATTGCAGCACACTAAAGAAACACTGCCATAGGATAGTATTTGTGTTAAGCAGTACTATCCTGTGGTGGTGTGTATTAGTTTACTATGGCCTAATAGCACTGCACCTGATGAGGCTGACATTTTACTGTGCAGCTAATTAGTCAGCTTTGCAGTAAACATCTTGTGTAGACACACCCTCTTAACGAGCAAGCTCTGAACAGACTCTGAGGCCACATCCAGACGAGCATGGCCATGCAGTATCTGGCACTGCAGACAAGTCAGTGGTGCCACATGCTACACATTCAACTGTTCTGCATGGTTCAAGGGAGCAGTGCAGGGGTGGGGGGGAATTAAACCCTGAGGTAAAAAAAAAAAAAGCAGAACAACACACGTGGGGGCAGCATGCACTGCTCAAAACCAGAGCCTGGCTGGCCGGGGCCATGCTCCAGCTGCTGACCAGGCTCCAAGCAGCAGGATCGCTGCTGCTGCTGCTGCAGCCCCAGGAGGCCCCTAGAATCCCAGGTTAGGCTGCTGGGGCCAGCCCAGTGCTGGGCCCAGCCTCTCCTACCACACCCGGGATAACCTGCCATGTGCCAGACGGTGTGTGGCACAGGCATTCCCCAGGGACAACTAGCAGCAGCACAAGGTGTCCCACTGCCAATTTGTACCCAGGGAACCAATAGTCCATGCTCATATGGACGCAGCCTGAGTGAGCAAGCTTAGGAACAAGAAGCAATATAGCTGCCTCAGTGTGGCACTCTTTCAAGGCTATTTAGAAGCAGGTCTGCAGAAGGCTTATCTTTCAGACATGTCACTTTAGAGGTTATAGGTGGTAGACGCTGGGAAGAAAGGGTGGGGGAGCTATTATATCAACATTAATAAGCTGTGTGGTTTGTTTAATATAGGGGAGATCTGATAGAGTATAATTTTATAACTGAAAAATGAATGTCTCTCATTCCACTAGCAATCTCTACTCTAGTTTCAAAGTCAGGGACTACTACACTCTGTGTTGCAGCTTCTGGTTGAGTTTTGAAGAGACCTTAATTTAGGACATGGCTGACATGGAGTAGCCCTCTCAGCCTGTGTAAATCATGGCTCCCTAAACAGTCCAAAGCTTGGAAATTTGCAGAAGTGTGTATAGATACCTTGGAACAAGAATCCATGGTTGAATCTTCTCCCGCCATTCTTGGAGTCTGTTGGGCTGTAATGTTAGGGCCATTTTCCTTGTGTTACTAGTGTGATCAGATAAAGAAGATCAAGAATTGCTATCAGCTATTCTAAGTTTAATGTAAAGGCAGAGCCAATGCTGTAATTCAGGTTGACTACGATTCCAAAGCATGAAATCTCAGCAGATACCTATGTAACATCAGAATCCCCTTCAAGGTTGTATACTTTCTACTAACTTTCTTATGCGTTACTTCATTATAAATACAGAGTCACTTTCCATTACATTATAGGTAAGGAACAGCACTCTGTAGTCTCTTCCTGGTTTTTCTTTTTAGGCTGCTGCTCTGGTTCATATCTACACTGATGGGTCAGTGCTTCTGACTCATGGTGGAATTGAAATGGGACAAGGCATCCATATCAAAATGATCCAGGTAATGGAACTCAAATATTAGCCCTTTGCATTGTGTGTAACACAGGCCAAGACTGAGGAGCTTTCCTTCTTGTGTAATTAGGCTAATAGCTGTCATGAGCAATTTTTTACCAACATAACCCCTTGCCAATGACACAAACAGGAGCAGAGAAAAAAAGCTGAGGCTAAAAGGCTTGCATCTGCATAGTCATGTAGCTGCTCCCTCAACCAGCTTCCAAGAGGGTCACAAGGAGAGCAGGGCGGGATGTGGGAGAGATCCCTTTAGGTTTGTCAGCATACAGACCTGTCTTAAAAGACAGTTGATGCCCAGGGAAACATTCAGTCTAAATTAGAGGTGTCAAACATATCTGGCCCTTTGAGCTGGATCTGGAGTGCACAGCCATGTCATCTTGGCCTATGGGGCTGGAAACTTGTTGGTAGAAGTGTTAGCTGCTGTGGTTCCTGGAGCTGTGGCAGCCATTGTTCCCTCCACAGCCAAATTTCTGGCCACGTGGGCAGCCCTGCAAACTAGATAACATAACTTTTTTGCCCTGGAACTGGCCAGCAGGGTTCTCCATAGAGCCAGATATTTGGTGGTGGGAATAGTGGCAGCAGTGTTAATTACTGTGGCTTGGGAACTGCAGCAATTAATGCTGCCACCGATCATCCAGCCAACAAATTTTTAGCCCTGAGGGAAGCCCTATAGATTGGATACTCTGGCTCCACATGTTGGATCCAGCCTGCAGGACATATCTTTTGACTCCCTTGGTCTAAATCAGGGGTAGGCAAAATATGGCCTGCAGGCCAAATTTGGCCTGTCAAGGGATTCTATCCAGTCTGTGGCAGAATGCCTACCCAGTGCAGGCATGGGGGCAGCCTGGTCCATGCCACTTGCAGCCAGTCCCAACACCCCTGGGCATGCAATTGGAGCGGGGTGGCACCGGACTTAGCTTCCCAACAGCCCCAGCAGCGGCAGCTCACCACCCCTGGGCATGCAGTGGGGTGGGGTGGCACCAGACTCAGCTTCCCAACAGCCCCAGCAGCGGCAGCTCCTTCTAGCAGCTGCTGCCAGTGTAACTACCACCGCTGGACTCAGCCCCACTGCCTGGGCACCCTGCACCCTAACTTCCAGCCCCACTGCCTGGGCACCCTAGCTTCCAGATCATTGATGAAGATATTGAACAAAACCAGCCTCAGGACCAATCCCTGGGGCACTTCACTTGATACCAGCTGCCATCTAGATATCAAGCTATTGATTACTACCCTCTGAGCCCGACGATCTAGCCAGTTTTCTATCCACCTTACATAGACTCATTCATCCAACCAGTATTCCCTTAGCTTGCTTGCGAGAATGTTGTGGGAGCCTGTATGAAAAGCCTTGCTAAAGTCAAGGTATAGCACATCCACTGCTCTCCCCATATCCACAGAGCCAGTCATCTCATCACAGAAGGCAGTCAGGTTGGTCAGACGTGATTTATGGTAATGGGTTTCAGTTTGTTTGTTACTATGGTCAAACACTTAGTCAGCAAAAACAAGGAATCTGGCCTTGCAAGTCTATCTCTATACAAGGTTTCCCAGAGTCTGATCTAATCCTTATACAGTGGAGGAAGATGAAGGCACTTATGACAAGACCTCTGTGTTTCTTACAGGAGGAAGGGGAAACTTCTTGACTTTTATCTTGTTTTCCCCTGATCCCAGCAGAATATTATAGTCCTAAAAATATCAAGTCTGAGTTTAGCCATACATGACACTTGCATTGCCCAAGTTTCAAATACATTCCCTAATGATTATCATTAGAGTAGGACTGTCACACATGAAGCGTGTAAAATTGTTGATCAGAACAAAGCACCGTTTAGACCTGGAACAGAGCTTTAGAAACTCTGATCGCATTTGTCCTGCCTGAACAGCCTTCCTCACATAAGACAGTCCAGATGTTATTCTCTCTATTTTGATAGTGCTTTCTCAGCTTTCTGTTGGACAGTTTGATTTTTAAATGCATATGTGTGAATGCAAACTCCTTCTTATAGGATTCATTTACCCAAATGTCTTTTGTCTCTTTCAGGTTAAAGAAGCTTTTAAGCAAAGCATTAGTCTTTCAGCCACTGGGTACTTCAGGTAACGTATTTTTAGACCGCCCTAGGATTATGGGTTTCGGAGATATGTCTCAATAAAACTGCAAGCATGAATTTAAGGAGTGGCTTTTAAGGATAATAACTCAAGCAGTGGAACCAGATGAACAGGACTTGACACCAGCATTTTTTTATTGACAACTTGGATTTTTTTATTGACCCTCGGCAATGTAATTATAACTTTAAACTGGTCTTTTAGACATGGTTTCCTGGGCAGCCTCTGTCAGAACCATTCTGGGATTTTGTTATGAACATTTCTGGATTGGAGTGTTTTGTTTGGCATATTGATTGCCTGACTATAATATGGACATGGTGACAGATTCCCAGGGGATGCAAATTAGCATAGCTCTGTTGACTTTCATAAAGTATTATTCTGGTAATTGCCCCATTACGAAGTTTCCACTTCAAGTGATTTCCAACTTGTTGGTCATTAAGTTTACTGTAGTAATTCAGATATTGACAGAACAACCTAAACTTCTGTGATTTATGTGGACTTTGTTGTTTCAGCTAGAGGCTATGATGGAGATCTGAACTGGGAGAAGGGAGAAGGACACTGACAGGGCACTGTGTGTGCCTACCACTGTAAGGGCCTGGAGCTGGCAGCTGCTGGGTGCCTGATGAGGGCAGCCATTTTGAACTGAGGGCTGCCCATATAAACAGGGCAGTTCTGCTGCTGGAGGCCAGGCAACAACACTGCCTGGCTGGAGGGCTGCTGGTATCATCTGGAGGTAAGGGAGGAGCTGTGGGGGATAGTAAGGAGGCTCCTGGTCCTGGGCATGACCTAAAACTGCACCCTGCCAGAAGTGGGTGGCCGGGTGGGGCTCCCAGTGGTGCAGGAGCCCCCAGGAAATGCCAGGCCAGTGACCACCCCAGTGAAAGGCAGGTTGCCCCTAGCCCCCACAACTGGGTGGGTTACCCCTTTGTTGGAGGGTTGGGAAGGTGGACCCCATGGCAAAAGAGTAAGGGCCATAGACTCAGGCCTGTCCGGACTTCCCCTGACTGGCCCATGCTGGGGCCAGGACTGGAAGGGTCAAAGGGCCGGGGGGGCCACCGCGAGGGACGCCCAAGAGCTGTGCACTGAGGGTCCTGACTGGCCTGGAGGTGGGCCAGGGCTAGTGAGCCAGAGGTCCCTGTGGGGGGACCACACCCGAAGGGG